GTATACGGTGTATATATATATATATATATATATATATGCCTATAGCAGTTCGAGTCAGGCATTTCGAAGAGCTCTTTCTTTGTCTTACCAGTCGGGAAAAATATTGTTTGGGTTAATTGAAATTGGTGGAGTGGGGAGCTACTGAGTGTGAGTGTGATTGGAAAGCAAGGAAAGGAAGGAAGCACGCACAGTATGCATCGCACGCTACAAGAAACTTAAATTTACGTATTATCATTCCGGTGTGCAGGAATTTCCGTGTGAGTGAAACTTACTTATACCAATAATACCTACCGTATTGCAAGTATGTGCCTATGGTATGATAGACAGATAGACAGCAAACAGGTCGGTTAAATGCTCAAGGAATGGAAGGAAGCGATTAAGCAATTATTTTTGTCCCTTTTTGAAAATCGGAAGATATATTCTGACCACTGTCAACCTTAGGCTCTGCCACTCGGTGTCCTGGCCGACCATCAGCGGTCGCAGAGTGAGTGAGTGAGTGCAAGAGATAAGTAATCCCCCATGATACGCCGTGAGGAGTATGTGCAGCTTCAACATTCGTTACTCGAGTATGTTACATATATAACTTTTCCTTTATGGCTGGCTATGATACGTGAAGGCTACTGGGACTGTACTTAGCTTGGAGATACGAGTATTATGATATCATACCATGATAAGTACCGTGCAGTTATGATATGTCCTACCAAGATGGTAATTTGAAAACCGGGGCAAAGGGATATATACTGTGCTGTACTAGTATCATATCATACTTACTCCCGCGCGCAGCCCCGTCATACCTACTGTACTGTACTCACCTTTTTCACTAAAAAAATTTACCCTCCAATCCCCCCCCCCACCACCTCCTACCCATTCCACTTATGACACTACGTGCAAAGTGGGAAGATCAGAATCTCGAGTGAGGAGCTATGATTGTTACGACACTATGGAATCGTGTGATATCATAATATTACGGTTTGGCCCCCTCTGCACGGTAGTGGCACGGTGAGTTTGATACCGGAATCTTAGCGAGCAGCACAGTACGGGTCGGAGCGGTATTAGGCTTCCGCACAATCGATCGATGGGACGCGCAGCCCCACCGACAACCACTCGTAAGCGCGGTGCATCCGAGGCTGGTAATTGGGGGAGGAGTTTTGGTAGGTGAGTATGATAGGCAGGTGGGTAGCACGGTGGTCTCTGATAAAGTGCTATGAACTGCAAATAAGCTAGGGTAAGAGAAAAGTACGGAGTAAGCTATATGATGGAAAGCCCCAGTGGAACAATGAAAAGATGGAGGGAAAAGGAAAAAAAAAACCCACAGAACATGAAACAGAAGGACGATAAGAGAGACAAACACACGCTAAAGAGCCACTCCAAACCCCCCCCCCGCCACCGCCTTCTCTCCTCCTCTCTGCCTGGCGCTAGAAATCATCTCATTCAACTGCGCCGTCTTCAGAATTCATTCCCGAGCTACCATACCATAAGCCGCTACTAAAACTACGACAACAATGACCGCGGCAACCGCTACTTCCAACTACAACAACGTACAAACCGACCGACCAACCAGCCAACCTAAACCACACATGGAAGAGAAAAAATGAAAATGAAAAACCGGAAATGAAAAAACCAACTACCAGAGAACTTTTTTTCCCTCTTCTCAAACCCGTCCCTCCTCCTCCTCCAAAGATCCCATGAAGAGGTTAAAAAAGAAATCATTAGAAAGGAAAAGAAAGAAAAGAAAGGAAAAGCTATTTTATCTAGTCTGTAGATTGATGTTGCGACCCTCCATCTCCACCATCAAAGGTCCTACCACGCTTGGGACCGCCGCCTCTACCTCTCTGCCCACCACCGCGATCTGATCCGTAGGCGCCTCTTCCACCACGGCGGTAGCCACCACGCCTGTATCCGCCACCCATGTTGTTATCACTCTCGCTGGTGTTGCCACCGGTACCGGTTCCGCGACCCCACTTGCTGTCGGACATGCCGGGTCTTGGGTTGCTGAAGGAGTAATCGTCCATCAATTTGACCCAGGGTTTGTTCTCGTTCTGGGAACGCCTTATTTTCAACTCTTCTGGTAGCTGTTCCAGCGTTTCTTTGGCAACTTCGGCGCTCTCAAAGTACGCAAGGAAGTAAATGGACTCAGGTCTAATTTTGGGGTGTTTTAAATCTATACGCTGAATCTTGCTCTGGACCTCCGAAGAGAATAGAGCACGGACCGCGTCGGCGGTATTGACACCAGTTATGTAAAATCCGAATTGTTTTGGGCGGTCCTGTGGGGAGCTAGCCTCTTGATGTTGGGGTCCGGTTGGAGCCGTGGCGGGAGCCGTGGCAGGAGCCGTCGTGGGAGTATCAATCTTGGGCACGGCGGGAGGAGCTGGGGATTCGGTACGTGTACCGTTACTAGTGGATGGTTTCTCCGCCGCTGGTGTTGGCAAAGGCGTAGCGACTGGGGTAGCAGCTCTATTCGCAGGACCACTTGGTACTGGACGAGGTGTCGCCGGCTTCGGGGCGACTGGTGGTTCGACCTGAGCAGGAGGCGGGGTAGGCTGCTTCGGCCCGGTTGGTGTTGTGGTAGGCTTCGGTTGAGGGGGGGTGGGCTTTGGCTGCTGTTGATTCCTTGGTCCTGACGGGGGGAAGGGAACTGCCGGGCCATTTTGTGGAGTAGTGTTACTAGCCCCGGAGGGTCCAGATGGCACATTCACATTAACAGTTCCAGCATTCGAAGTAGGCGCCGGCGCAGTGGTTGATGTAGCAGGCGCAACCGATGATTGTTGCTGTTGCTGTGGCTGCTGTTGTTGCTGTTGCTGTTGCTGCTGCTGAGCTACAGGAGCTCCTTTTCCACCCCTATGGGCAAAATTGAACCCTTGCGCTCTCATCTCGGTCCCGATGCGGCCGCCCTCAACTTCTAGAACAAGCCAGCCAAATGCAGCGTCTGCCAAGTTGAAATTCCACATATTCTTGAATGCAGATTCATCGACCTGTCCAGCCCCAGGAGCGGTGTTTGATGCCGGACCGCCAAATGGGTTGCCGCCGTTGGCACTTGTGGGCATCTTCTCCACGATATCCAGGGCATTATTCAAGAGTGCATGCTGAGCTTCGTTTTGCTGAACGGCGGGCAGGACCTCGCCCTTGACAGTCTCCCAAACATCATTGAAAGACGCTTTCGACGATGCTAGCTTGCCCCGGTAATGATCCAGAGTTGGGTTTACACTGAACTCGTTGTATGAGCTGCCATATCGGAAATGTAATCCCGCGGATATCGAGAAATCCGCCTTCAGAGTCACCGACAATTGATTTAACAACCCTTCCCTCGCTGGGGAAGCGTGGGTAACAAAAATTCGAGTTTCAGCAGGGTCATACACTCGGTTTGCCGTGTCAACGAGCTCGCCCATTTGCAAAAGCGTAGTCCACATGGTCCCTTGTCCCCCAGGGATTGTGGTCCTTCCTTCGCCATTATCAAACAACTTATGCATGACCACAGCTCCTCCCAGACCCAGCAACCTGAGCTTAACACCACCGACATCCAACAGCCGTGAATTCGCCTCATCGATGATGTGAAGATTGTTGATCTTGTATTCGCCTGAGCGGAACTTCTCAAGAACACGGACATCTTCGCACGCTCCCCACACCGTGTATACAGGTACGTCCAGGGTGTACTTCTTATTGAGAAACAGGGGAAGCTCAGACAACGGGTGTTCGACTTGAGCAAAGAGCTGCTTTATAGAATGGCTACTGGGACCAGGACCCTGGATACGCTTTTTGAGGCCCTCTTCGAGCAGGGGGGAGTATTGTGCGACATGTCGTAGGGTCCTTTGAAGAGGTCAGCCAATATTCATTATGGATCGGGGTAAGTCTAACTTGTCGGCAATTCTCTCCAGCGAGCTATCGTCGTAAAAGCCAAAATCACCGGTGTGAAGGATGTGATCTGCGTTTGCCTTCTTGGCCAATTCATTTAAAGATCTAAGGTTTCCTACAAAAAGAGTAGACAGGAATTTAGTGCCAATTCACCAGACGTTTTAAAGCCGAGCAATCCGAGATCGCCAGAATCCATACAAGAGAGAGGAGGATGGGATTCATACCTCTAACATCGGCAATGCACAAAATCCGCGCTCCTGCCTTCTCGATCACCTTCTGAGGTGGAAGTTGGACAGGCTGAGGAGGCATCCCAGGCACGGAGCCATTTGGAACATACTGCTGGTGATGTGCGCCGAATTGAGGAGGGCGGGGCTGCGGAGGTACCTGTGGCATTGTTAGAAGGGGGGAAATGCTGGAGTGTCGAAGCCAAGGGCCAAACGAGAGACAACAGCGCCCAGAAATAGCGGGGGAGACTTGGACTACAGGGCGATCTGCAAGGGTTCGTGGGTGTAACTTACGGAAGCCATCAGATGTTTGGGGGGCAGTGTCGATGAAAATTTAATACGTTGATAGAGGTAAGAGAGGGGGGTGTTGTAAGGAATTCAAAAGAGATGGAAGAGATGGGAGAGGAGATGAGAGATGCTTCGGGAGCAGAAGGGACACGGGGGTTGATGAAAGATCGAGTAGCAGTGTGTGTTTGATGAGAGCGGAGAGACTAGTTCAACACAAGGAAAGGAGAGGGTGGTGGTGGCGGTGGTGGTAAAATTTCGTGAGTTGTGGGCTGAGAGTAAGTAAGGTGCAAACAGCGGGAAAGGTGATGTGGTGGTGGAGGAGTGAGGTGGAGCGAAGGATGGATGGTTGTGGACAGCAGTACCACGCAGTGAGCGGTGGAGGGGGGGGGGAGAGCAGAACGGGGAGGGGACAAGGCGCTGTGGGAAGGGTTGTGTGCGAGAGTCGAGTGGAAGGTGATCGGGTGGAGGGGGGGAGAGAAAGGTTGTTGGCGGTGGAGGAGATTTCGGTGGAGGTGCAGACTACTGTACGGCAGGGCAGTCTGATTCATACCACTGGTATCATTTCACAGCGAATCGTTGCAACAACAGCAGCAGTGCAGTCGGAAAGGCCCAACCGATCACGCAGAGAAAATATGAAAGGTATCATATCATAGGAAAAGGGGAAGAAAAAAAAAAGTGAGAGACGGAGGGAATGCTACAAGGGAGATAGGGAGAACCGCATTTCGTGAAAACAAAATTGCTACACCGTAAATCAAAGAAATACCGAGAGGCCCAGTAACGGCTAAGCGCAGAATTAGGTGAAGAGAGGAAACATTACGGTATGGTGCCGGGCGTCTGGAATCGACCCTCACCAGGACCAAATCCAGCGGCGAACGGGCCCCAACAACGACAACGACAAAGTTTCGGGAGAAAAACTCTGTGCAGATCTGCTTGGAATTGGTCCCTCTTTAATTATATCAACTCCGTTTTTCGATGAAGTGATTCTCGGCTGAGAACGGCAGGAGGACGTTGGGGAAACCTGAGCACATGCTGTAACTACGAAATTTATGCCAGAGCACTTTCATACACTTTTGTAGGTATTACTAAGCGAAAAGAGAGCGGACAAGAGGATCGGTTTTTGGTGTCCTGCACTGGACCATACCGGTACCGTACGGTACTTGCAATTTACCATACAACCGTTTTCCCTTGGAACAACCGCAAATGCTAAAGTTAGGCTACCCGTCCACTTTTGATACTCGAGTACTCGAGTGTACCGGTGCAGTCCGCCTGTCCCCCCCTCGCATGCATAAACATACCGGTAGGTGTTATGAGGCAAGGCGATATCGGTTGGCCACTCATCCGTTTGCACCAGAGATTTTAGGCCTTCCTTCCACTTCCTCTCTCCTCCTTTCCTTCCCATGATATATGCCGACCTGTACAGCGCCCTGCAGTACGGTGGAGCCCTCCACAGCAGCTCTCGTGCCCTGCATTCAACATTTCGGAAGCCGCTCCTTATACGGGCGCACTGCACCCGCACGGTTGGTCACACGTTACCGGTACTTTGTTCACACTCCATCATAATATTCATGTGTCATGCTTCCTGTATGGCCTTCTCGCTTCAAACCCTAGTCAGCATTCAAATAAACGAGCGCCGTTCCCTCAGCCCTCAGACTGCTCAACCCGCCGTACCTTTGAGAACTCGGCAGCCTTGCTTTTTACATCATGCCAGGAAATGGCCTAAGTGGGTAATAATATGCACGCAAGGTGAGTCTCAGTTGCCGAAGCGTACTTGAGTACACTACTCGTACAATGGAGATAGATTATGTTCGTTTGAATCCAAATACTTGCACAGTCCAATTTGATAATATTATCATGCAATGTTAATTCGGAACTACTGAAGCTAGCGAGCCCCGACATCAATCATGGGGGGGAAGAAGATAAAGGAATGAAAAAAAAATGGAAAAACAAAACAAAACAAAACACACGAGTACTGTAAAAGCACTTGCACCTGCACTTGGTATACATTTCCCAACCAATGCTCGGGCATTCCGACCGATCACTTAAGACGTTGCATGTTTCCCAAGGGCGACGATGTCGGCCTGCGTGAGGTGCCAAACCGTCTTTCCGCCTTCCTGCTTCCCCTTGCCTTCCCAAACACCTTCCTCCAGAGCGACCCTGACAGCAGCTTTCCCAATAGTATCTGCATCCTGAGCCCACACATCCTTCAGCTTTCCACCCGAGATAGCACCAAGGAGGTTGGCCACACCATGGAGAGGATAATCCAGCAGCCTCGCCTTCTCGCGTGACCCGACGATTAACCCTGGCCTTAGGATTGCCATCTTTTCAAAACCTATCTCGATAACAGCATCTTCCAATTCTCCCTTCATCTTCATGTAAGGGAGCCGAGAGGTCGAGTCTGCACCGGCGGTGGAGATTAGGACGCAAGACCTTGCACCGGCTGCTTTGGCTGCCTTTGCTAAATCAAGGTTAAGGTCAAAGTCGACTTTACGCTGAGCCTCGAAAGAGCCGGCATCCCCGCGTGTAGTTCCAAGACTGGATACAAACACGGTAGTGGGTGCAGAGCGAAGCGTTGCAGGCCATGTCGCAGTGTCACTCGAAATGAGAGGCTTGAGCTTTGATTCGGGGTCGGTAATGGGGTGGGGATAAGCGCGGCGCATCAAGGCATGCACATGGGAAGTCTGCGGGCTCGAAAGAAAGCTTTGGAGTGCGAAGGAGCCCTTCTCGCACCAACATTAGTAAAACTACGTCATCAGTATATTCAAAGCGGGCCTCCAGGAGACTACCGATAGGGGATGAGGCGAAGGATGCGGCGATAAAGAAAAGAATAAGAGCCCACATTGAAAGGGGTAGCAAAAGGATAAACGAACGAATATATGTACTCACCACCAGGCCCGTGCTCCCAGCCATTGAAACAGACTTTGCGGAAGTCATGCCGTGATCTGTTTGTGTGTTGGTAAGATCTAGAGCAACTGTTCTGATGCAGAGGTACAGTACTCGTACTATGTTAGATCTCGTCGGACTTGCAAGACACTTTGCTTTGACAGAAGACGAAGAGAGTTGCTGGGTATTGGTAAAAGAAAGCCGAGAACGTTCGGTCTGGGAGTTTTCCGTGCCAACAAAGGAACAATCAGGCCTGCTTGTACGTAGGAGGAGGGACCTGAAAAAGTGGAGAAAGAGGAGAGAGACGCCAGAAAGCGAAGAACTTGTAGTCTAAGTTGGAACCGACGTGCAATGTAGCCGAGTAAGTGAACCTACAAGCTAGGGGCATTGGTATCAGAAGTACTTCAGGGTGCGCAACCCTATGCTCTCTGGCCACCATACGTACATGCACCCGAGTACTGTCCCGCCACGGGGTTTTGGTCGTGTCCCCGATGAGGACTGTATCATACAGAATGTCGTTGACGTACCTTGGAACCCAAAGATTCCTTGACACTGTGTCGGTGCCTGAGACGCCGGTACCGTGGCGTGGCTTTTCCGTCCGGTTATCATACGTATGACACCAGTATGATAATATTTGTCCACAGGAAGCTTCACCTGTACACACTCCTATTCCTGCCCTACTGAGCAGTTTAGGTATCATAGCAATCTCACCACGATAATCGAGGCCATGAGGGCCAGGCCCCATACAAGTACATGGTAGCCCCGAAATGTTGTGGAGGCTCGGGCTTCAGAGAGAAGGATATCAGTATGGGTTGCTGTAAATTATCAGCTTTTCATTGAGTTGCACCAACTTGGAGTGAATATCGTGCTCATACGGAAGCCTATCAGATTCAACCAAGACCGCACGAATGCCACAGCATACCCCGCCTGCCTCTCGGTTACAACATCGGCATGCATTGAGCGGCGACATGAATTAAGATGAGAAGGAGGTGTTTGTGCCATAAGCAATTGTATCGAACCGTAAGGTTCCGGTATGCTTGAGTGCCCTGCTCCTTGCTACCACACGATCTTCCCGCAATAGTCTTCCCGCAATAGAGTAGCACTTATCATGCGTGGTACTACCCTAGGGGTACCGTACAGTATGATACTTGTATTTGTTTATCAGGGCCATGTTTACCCTCACATCCCGCTATCCCGGATCATGCTTAAACTGTAATTCAGGGGAGGACAGAGAAGACACCATCATGCATGTGTGGGTACCAGATGGATGGCTAGAGGTGTTAATACTACTTGTGGGCATGGATTGCGATAAAGTTTCTCACATGAATGAGAATAAATCTTTGCAGTTTTTCAAATAAAACAATCTCTCTCTCTCTCTCTACTGTTCCGGACACCCGCTGTCCTGGATGGGATCCGTGAAATTTGACCATCCGGAATAGCGGGGTGCGAGCGCCACTCAAAAACCCTCAATATAAATGGTACTCGTAAGCAGTCTTCCCCCAAGCTCTTGACAAGACTTCAGCGAGCGGTGGCCAGGAGGCTTGGGACTGACGACTCTCATACATAAAATACTCGTACCGTACTTCGCTGATAACAGAGTGGCGCAGCACAGATGTGGCACGGCAAATGAAGGGTAACATGGGCGAGGGATCAAGGAACAGACCAAAAACCACCTTTCGCCAAGACCTTTTCAGTGTATTGTTCGCTGAGCCCCCCTGTTCATTGAGCACTCGACCATGTTATCATGCTGGCAGCTGGTGTCATACAGTAATTTACCGCGCGTCACCCCGAAGGCCAAACCCTGGCCCTAACCTTCTTTGTCGTTGCTTGCCGACCCCCGGGCTCTTGGATTCTCCTCCTCTTTCATTTGCTTAGACCAGCATTTATTTGGCCCTTCTCCCCCCTCTCCCCTCCCTCGTCTCCTTTGGCCACCATCACGCCCTCGGAATTGTTCGGTGTGGAACCATTACCGCGCAGATATAAAAGGTGAGATACCCTAACCTCTACCGCTTTTTTCGCCGCGAGAACTCTTAAATTTCCCAATGATGATATCGCATCCACGAGAGCGGCCTGAGAAACCGCTTTTCGTGTCAAATATGTTACAACCCCATCTGTATTCACCCTGATGAGGTATTCTTTGCTGTTAGATTCTGAGCCATCACTCGCCGTTGCGATTTGTGTTTTCGTTAACATTTCTTTGCTGAAACAATCTGTTGTACGGGCAACAAGATTTGCTGACCAAATCTGACGACGTCCGTCACTCACAGAACGGCAAGTGCATACAACTGTATCTCATCATAAGGCAGGACGGGAGAACATTTTCAAAGGGAATAACAAATTCGATCATTCAACCTCTATTCTCATCCTCACTATTCCAGTTAGACACCATGTGCTTCTCCTCCGCCCAGGAATTGGTCGACACTAATGGGGAAAAGTCACCCCTCACTGGCGGCGGTGCCTTGGGCACTGGTGGTTTGGGGAAACCCCCGGGACAGAAATGTGTCGATTGTGGTGATTATTCCTGTTGCTGGTAGGCTTCCCCCCGACTTTTTTTCTTCCTTTCTTCCCGGGAGCAGGGTGTGGGCATGTTGCTAACTATTTTCGCGGAATCTACGTAGCATTCCTTGTATCATCACTTAAAAGAGGCGGGTGCTTGTGATGGGAAAGAGGATTGAGGCTCTTTTTTCATGAATTATGTTTACTTTTTCCCTTTTTTTTTTCCCCCATGCTACATCTGAGTCTGGATGCCTTTGCCGTTTGGTTTGCAGGTGCTGCCAGCGCTGGGGTCGGACTGAATTGGGTGGAATTCAGTTTGGGATGCGGGTTTTTGTATTGTATGAATTGGGGGTGAGGGTTGCTCTTGTGAGCTATAATGACGATACCATGATGAACTATGAAATCGAGTTGTGCCCGAGTACTCGTACACAGTACCGGTATCGCGTACCTGTGATGAGCGGTATTTTTGTGTTTGTATGGACCTTCTCACAACGGATCACGGGTTATAACAAGACGACGGGGGCAACGACTGGGTGTGTCGGTCATCCGTGCGGTAGATTGAGTTATCGCCGGGTTCTGGGCCACAAGAATTGTTCCTGTCAGGGCCATCACCAAAGCTACCCAGCCCGGTAATGTGACAGGGAGAGAAAAAAGAAAAGGATAATCACGGGACCATGAGCAGGTACAATACTCATCGATATCGATTAAGTAGGGGCCGTTGATTCGTTGGATGCAGGTATTTCTCGATGGATGTTTTTTTCTCTTCTTTTTCTTCTCTCTCTCCCCCTCTCTCTCTCCTGCCAAGGGGATTGAGGTCTTGCCCAATCCTGCAGCAGCACGTCATCAGACGGTCATCAGCGAGCCAGCATCTCGTCTTTTTTTTCTGCCCGAATTACCGGTACGCTTTGGTAGGGGATTCAAGGGGAGAAGAGTGAGTATTGCAGTATTATTATTATTGTTGTAATCGCCGTTATTCAGTATTACGGAGCTGGATGGATTACCGGTAGTCCATTTAGAATGGGGAAACGTGGGGGAAAAGAGGTGGAAAGGGGAAGAAAGGAAAAGAAGCAGGAATGGGAAAAACCCTTTCCCTCTCTGCCTTTCTACCGATTCCTTTACCTCACTGGAATTTCCTCTCCATTTCTCCGTTGTGAAAGTTGCTGTGCTTTCACCGTTTACCGTAGTCTTATTATTGATCGACAGAGTCAGGAGTCCCGCTGAGGCAGAAAGCGGGAGGCAGTAGAAACAGCAAAAGAGAAGCGTGAGGGTTAACCGTTCAGCCTCTCTCTCTCCACATCGTCTTCTTCCTCTGACTCCCATCCTCCCTCTCATACACACACACTTTGTTTCTTCCCCTTTCCCCCGCACATTTCGCTCAGGGCCCGCCTCTTGCTCGCCCGCTGTTGCCTCATCCCCGAGTCTCCGCTTTTCTTGCGTCGGCCCTCGTCATCCACCGCTCCTACCATCATCCCCATCTCTCCCTTTGGCCGCCTTTCCCTCCATCCCCCTTCAACCTGCAGACTTCCCACTCAAGCCATATTTATCACCCTCCTTCTGCCCTGGTTTACATATCGTTCTTTGCGAGTTCGCCGATTACGGAATCAGAGAGTGCTGCCTCGTACATAGCCCGCTTAGTCGGTCATCCTGGCTTCAAGATACCGGATTCTGAATTCCACCCTTCTCGTGACACAATTGCTGAGAGTGCTAACGGCCACTGTTTTTCACTTCTGCACACCCCAATAACCCTCTCTAAAGATGAAGCATCTCCTGATGCTTCACATACCCCGATTACTGCTACCCGCATCCATTCTCCTATGTTTGCTCTCGTGGTCGAACCCGGTGCTGGCCGATAGGCCGGGTCCGGTGACAAGTGTGCATAAAGCCGGAGTTTGCGCACTGCGCGGTCAGGTATCATTCTCAACTTCTACTTCCTGGCCTTTTTCAGATCCACCCCCTGAGTTCGACAACGCTAATGGTGGTGATGCGTAGTGCGGCAAGAAATCCTTCTTCGGAGCACAATTGCCGTGTCCGGATAACACGCCAGCTACTGAGCCAAGCTCCAAGACGAGGAAACGGTTGGTGGAGATTTGTGGAGATGCTTGGAAGGAGGGACCCGTCTGCTGTGGGGATGATCAGGTGCGTTGGGAGGAGTCCTGTCTGCTTGTTGCTCGAGTTTTGCTCATCCTGGCTGGTTGGGGATTTAGCTCGGGGACTTGTCGAAAAATTTGAAGAGGGCTGAAGCGCTCATCGCTTCTTGTCCTGCTTGCAAAGCGAACTTTTTCGACCTCTTCTGCACCTTCACTTGCTCACCTGATCAGTCGTTGTTCCTCAATGTCACCGCCACCCAAACCGCGAGCACTGGGAAGGAGGTGGTCACAGAGTTAGACTACTTGGTCTCCCCTTCCTACGGGAGCGGGTTCTTCGATTCGTGCAAGGACGTCAAGTTTTCTGGCACCAATGGCTATGCTATGGATCTTATTGGTGGGGGTGCGAAGGATTACCCTGCGTTTTTGAAGTTCCTGGGAGATGAGAAGCCGTTTGGATCACCGTTCCAGATTGACTTCCCCCCCGGAGACAAATTGAATGCCCCGATGAAGGCTCTGGATCATTCGCCCAAGAGGTGCAATGACGGGGATGTGGCCTATAGATGTTCTTGTGTTGATTGTCCTGCTGTCTGTCCCGCACTTCAAGAAGTTGAGGTGGGGGAGGAATGCAAGGTCGGGGTAATTCCTTGCCTTAGCTTCGCGGTTATACTCATCTACTCAATTTCGCTGCTTATTCTTGTCGGATACACCGCCACTGAATACTACGAGAATTTGAAAAAGAGGAGTTCTGAGCGTTCCAGACTATTGCAAGACAGCGCGCCGAGCGATGATGAGGATGAAGGTGATGTCGTGGGGGCTGGAATGATGGATAGGCCTTATAGGGAATATTTCTTGAATTCACGTTTGGACGATTTGTTTTCCTGGTTGGGACATACATGCGCATCTCTCCCCGCTATTACGATCTCATCTAGCGTCATAATTGTTGGCTTGTTGAGTTTAGGTTGGCTTAGGTTCAGTATCGAAACAGACCCTGTGAGGCTGTGGGTTAGCCCCACATCCGAAGCTGCTCTGGAGAAGAAATTTTTTGACGACAATTTCGACCCGTTCTATCGAACACAGCAGGCGTTCTTGGTTAACGATACCACGGAAGCAGGCGCTTCTCCAGTTCTGAGTTATGATGTATTGAGTTGGTGGTTCGATGTTGAGAATCGCATCAGGAGATTGAAGAGTTTGAATTATGGAGTCACTTTGGACGATGTTTGTTTGAAGCCTACGGATGCCGGATGCGTTGTTCAGAGTGTCGCTGGGTATTTCGGGAATAGCTTCTGGAATGTCAAAGAGGGGACGTGGCGGAGGGATCTGAGATCTTGTGCGGCGCAACCTGTTCAGAGCCAATGCCTACCGGATTTCGGACAACCATTGAATAAGGACTTAATTCTTGGGGGATGGCAGGATACTGGGGACGTTGTGGATTCTAGGGCTATGATCATCACTTGGGTTCTAAACAACCATGCGGAGGGATCCAAGGAACTTGTGGAGACTATGGATTGGGAGCAGAGCTTGAAAAGTACGCTGCTCGCTGTGCAGGGCGAAGCTAGGGAGAGAGGATTGAGATTGAGCTTTTCAACGGAAGTTAGTCTTGAGGAGGAATTGAACAAGAGCACCAACACTGACGCCAAGATCGTTGTTATCAGCTATATCGCCATGTTCATCTACGCCAGCTTTGCGCTGGGAAGCACAAGTTTAACCATCCCTCACATCCTGAACCAGAGCAGTAAACTCCTTGTGGAAAGCAAATTCACTCTCGGAATTTTCGGAATTATCATTGTCCTTATGAGCGTCTCTGCAAGTATAGGGCTGTTCTCGGCCATGGGTGTTAAGGTAACCCTAATTATCGCCGAGGTCATCCCGTTCCTTGTTCTTGCTGTTGGTGTGGACAACATCTTCCTGATCGTTCACGAATTTGAAAGGGTCAACTATTCGCATCCGGATGAGAGAGTGGAAGTTCGCGTTGGGAAGGCAATGGGCAGAATGGGTCCGAGCATTTTGCTCTCTGCAACTTGCGAAACTATTGCCTTTGCCCTGGGAGCTGTCGTCTCTATGCCTGCAGTTAGGAACTTTGCTATTTATGCCGCCGGTGCAGTGTTCATCAACGCTTTGTTGCAAGTTACCATGTTCGTGGCGGTGCTGTCGCTGAACCAGAAGAGGGTCGAGAGCAACAGGATGGATTGTTTCCCCTGCTTTAGGGCGCCCGGTGGTTATGAGAGCAATGGCTCTGCTGCCAGCCTTGGAGGAGGAATAATGTCGAATGCGAGAGGGGAGGGAATTAGAAATGCACCAGGGTTCTCTATGGAGGAGGAAGGCGTTTTGCAGAAATTCATGAGGAAGGGGTATGCGCCGGCACTATTACAGAAATCCACTAAGCGGGTTGTTGTGGGATTGTTCTTGGGATTTTTCACCGCCGGAATCGCGCTCTTGCCAAAGGTCGAACTTGGGCTGGGTATGATGCGCCCCATTTTACCAAGTCTGGATACTGACGTTTTTGGTATTTAGACCAGAGAATTGCCATTCCAAATGATTCATATCTAATTGGCTACTTCAACGACCTTTACCATTACCTGGGCGTTGGGCCACCAGTCTACTTTGTGACCAGGGATTATAACGTCACCACCAGGGAAGCTCAGCAGTCACTTTGTGGCCACTTTTCGACATGTGATACATTTTCACTTTCAAATGTTTTAGAGCAGGAGAGAAAACGTCCCGAGATTTCATATATTGCGGAACCCGCTGCGAGCTGGATCGATGACTTCTTTCTATGGTTGAACCCCTCCCTTGATCAATGTTGCAGAGTCAAAAAGAAGAATCCTTCCGAGCTCTGCGACGAGTTTAGTAGTGACCGCGTCTGCAAGGTCTGTTTCGAGGACCGAGATCCAGCCTGGAACATCACCCTCAACGGTATGCCCGAAGGCGACGAGTTCCTCGGCTTTCTAGACACCTGGCTGCAAGCTCCCACGGGGGAAGAATGCCCAGTAGCTGGCAAAGCCGCCTACTCACACGCAATCGTTCCTGACCACGACCGCAGGACCATAAAAGCCAGCCACTTTCGCACATCCCACACTCCGCTTCGCAGCCAGAGGGACTTTATAAACGCCTATGCCTCCGCCCGCCGTATTTCTGAGCTTCTCTCGCACAAGTCCGGCCTTGAAGTCTTCCCTTACTCCAAATTCTACATCTTCTTTGACCAGTACTCTTCCATCGTCGGCCTCACAGAGGCACTCTTACTCGCAGCGCTGGCGTGTATATTCCTGGTCTCTTCTATATTACTTGGAAGTGCGCAGACGGGATTGGTGGTCAGTGCTACGGTACTAATGATCGTCGTGGACATTCTGGGCATAATGGCAGTCTGGGGCGTAAGCCTCAACGCAGTCAGTCTAGTGAACCTGGTGATCTGCGTTGGTATAGGCGTTGAGTTTTGCTCGCATGTTGCCCGAGCTTTCATGTTTCCCAGTCGCAGCGCCGTCGACCGCGCTCGCGGCTTCCGTGGCAAAGACGCTAGAGCACTCAGTGCTCTCACCAACGTCGGCGGTTCCGTAAGCCCCCCCTTTCTTCCCCTCCCCGCATATTCCCTCGTGGCTAATGTGTACATAAAAAGGTATTTTCCGGCATCACCGTAACCAAGCTGATAGGAGTCTGCGTACTCGCATTCACCCGTTCCAAGATTTTCGAAATATACTACTTTAGGATGTGGCTTGCCTTGGTCGTTGTCGCCGCTACGCACGCGTTGATTTTCTTGCCTGTTGCACTGAGTTACTTCGGCGGCGAGGGATACGTCCCAGACGATAGCTACGGCGGCCTAGAAGAAGACCTGAGAAGCCGGACATATAGAAATCTCGTGCCCGCGGATTATGATGAGAGCTCCGAGGAGGACTAGTTGGTCCGCCCCGAAAGAGCGCACGTAAGATGGTATGAACATGATAGATTTGCAAGCATGGGTGGATTGGGAACTTTTGGGTGTTTTTTCTTTCTTTCTTCCTTTCATAGCAAATAGCATCTGGTACCCTTCGCTTCTTTCTTCTCCCTTCCTATTACTCGTACTGGCTTGAGTACATATTTTGGTTTTCTGCTTTTTTTTTTTTTTTTTGAAAAAACTGGTTGGTTCATTAGTTTTGCTGCGAGTCTCGAGCCATACCTTGTTATGTCATGTTCGCAAGGTCCGGTCCGGCGCGGCGCGGCGTTGGTTTGTACGGTATGCTAGGTATAGTATAGTAGTAAGTATGGAAGTCAGGGCGGCTTCCCTTTTTCTTACGCTCTCTACGGATGGATGGATACGCATGGTTAGTAGATTTCTTGCTTGAGCTTTTAGTGCTTTTTACCGCGGGAGGGGGTTGGGAAGGTTGGCTAATAGACATTGATATTGATATTGGTAGCATGGGGTTTGCTTTCTCGCGTGAGCTGGAACGGAAACTTGAACCTAAGTGAATGTTTGTAGCCTACTGCGGTGGGTTAGATGGATGGATGGTGGCTTATGCGGCCGAGTACCTTACCGCATCGTGGGGTATCGGTGGTAAGTTATATAACTTGAGATTCCGGGAATTATCCTCCCACCCACCAGTAGACTTGTACGTATAACCTTAGACAGATACACACAGATGACACGCAGGAAAACCAAAGCCAAATTCAGTCCTACAACATCACAACTCATCACTCACTACCCGTATAATACTGCCCATCAGCATAGCACCGTATCATACTCGCAGCTCGTATAACATCGTCAGCCCCATCGTATCCGATCATTTCACATTAAAAAGAAAAAGAAAAGAAAGAAAGACAGCGTTTTTCCCGTCTTTCACAGGAACGATACAAACAAGTATTGTACTGTGCGGAAAACACAGGTTACCCAACGATAGACTCAACTCCCGCGAAGAATATGGTACCCCAAGATACGCCCTCTCACCTCCTCACCTCTCCTCTGAGTAACGACCATAATTATTTATTTATCAGGCCCCGTTCGATAGTCCATGAGAACGACATTCTTCCCCCTCCTCCTCCTCCTCCCTCCCCCCGTAAGCAAACTACGGTAGCCAGGTAATTGTATCATATTCAGGGGTGTTTTTTTTTGTTATGAATAAATAGGTAAAATAGGTTCGGAAGGTTTTGTAAGTGAAATGAATGAGTGAAAATATGATAACTTGTATCCTAGATGAATACCCGTAGAGAGCTATCACGGTACAGTACTCGAGTACTCGCGCCATGAACTCTGGTATTATCATATCACACATATGCCTATAGCGGAAGCATCCGAGTGTATATATCATACTATATACCCGAAGTCGAAGGATCACGACCGTCCTCCACTTCACTCTCCTCCCTACAGTGTGCTCGTAACACTGTACAAACGGTATCATCCATCCCCCCCACCGCTTCACCTTAAAATCGACCACCAATTACTATGGTACCTTTTCATTTTCATTTTCCATTCCAGAAAAAAAAAAAAAAAAAGCCCCTATCTATATTAGTACAGTACAGTACAATACCGCACACTGCGCATTTCAATAATGATAGTACGGTTATTGTCTGTACCACCGCACCCTTCACGAACAGATCACGCGAACCGGAATCCGACAAAGTAGCAAGTGGAAGAAAGAAAGGACCAGCACGAGGTTATAATTTACGGTCACCGGACTAGACTACAGTAATTAGTAACCGGCATCATGATAAGCGCGGCCCGGAAACTGTTTTTTTTTTCTTTTCCCCCCATGATTTATTCGGTGGTAAGTTATGGTATGATATTTCTGTGCGACCGATGACGTTGGCAGTGCTGGTGCTTCGTACGAGTACTAGGGGGGGGTTTTCAAAGTTAAAAAGGTAGCAAAAATTTAGCTTACTTTACTGTTTTATGTAAACTTGGTATCCACAGAAATGGTTAATCCACTGATACTTAACTTTACCATACCATAGGATAGAGACAAAGGTCTAGAGGTCAGTAATAGATATCATACAATTCTATAGTAATATGAAGTACTTTAGAGAAATACTATCCAGACTATATTGATGACTGAAAGAGCTCTAAAAGGAATAGTATCATAATTTGGAAAGCATTTTATAGCAAAACAAAATCTGATTTGATTTTTATTTCAAATAAGGTTTCTATTGATTCAACTACCTATATCTAACAAGCACTCAACAAACATATTATCTCCTTCTTGTATTTGGCTTATAGAGAGTATGAACACACCTAGGTAGTAGAGGATAATTGGGTTCCTGATTATTAAAAATTTGCTATTATGTATTGGAAAAAATGTGGAGTAGATAAGATGATAGATTAGCCTTCCCAGTCTCCTGATCTTGATCTAATAGATAAGGTTTAGAGGTAGATGGAGTGCAAGTTAGGAGAACAATAGGGAAGGATTAAGAAATTAGAGCTACTAAAGGTGGCTCTACAGATTATCTGAGATTCTGTATGATAACAGTTGATTTTTTAGAAAGCCTTATTAAGAGCATGCCAGAATAGTTACAAGCTGTTATTTATGCAAGTAGTAGTCCCACTCATTACTAGTTGGTATATTGTATATCAGAGCTTGATCGTATTAATGCACAGCCACATGTACTATCAGGTTTGTCAGACTTACCCCTATATCCTTTGTACAGTATACTAGTTCTCCTATCTCTCATGGTCAATTTCAAATTATCTTTTTTTATGGTGCTCTCAAATATGTTGCTCAAATCCTATCAATACTATCAGTTCATTATATAAAGTACCCTCAACTAATACATGATTCTACACTAAATTTTACCAGAAAGTTACTGATCCAACTTTGAATACCCCTACAGTACCAGTAAGTTACTCGGTAGCTACTAGACTATATCACCTCACATACCGAACCTTTGGTACAGTATCATAACTGTTCTAATTAGCACTGTACAGCCGCGACAAGAAAGTAACCGGACAGCGTTGGAAGTAGGTTTACAGTGGATACTAGTCTGGTTGGAACAGTACACTTGAGTATAGTGTGGTTGCAATAATATTCATCCACTACAGATCACAATACAAAGCCAAGGACTGAGGAGGAGGAGGGGATAGAGTGGCAAGAGAGGAGTGGGCCAATTAGATTGGAATAAGATCCACAAGATAATAGGTGGTATGCCTCAAATGTTGATTGAGAAGGGAGGTTCAAGAATGAAGCATTAAGTATGGATCGGTGGTTTGGAGACATTTATGAACTTGTAGTGCATGGAAATTTCCGCTGGTGTCCGGTTACTTTCTTGTCACCGCTGTACCTTTATTTTATATCTTATTTCATCTATTGATCGGCGTCGGAAACTGTATCATACTGGATACTAGTACAGTATCATAACTTACCCGAAATTCTGTGAGAGGGGAGCTTACGTAAGCTCCGGCTAGAAAGGAAAAAAAAAACACGATATTACGATGCCGTTTGTTCTAGACTAGTATTTACCATACCGGTACTAATATATATGGAGGAGCGGTAAAGAGGGATAATGCTAATGGTATGATACCGCCGTAAACAAATTTTCTTTTTTTTCCCCCCGCCATATCGTATACACTTACTTGTACGGGGTTCGTAAAAATTCTCGACAGTGCAGCGGCCCAGTAAATCTTCCGGGTCAAAGGCCCCAGATAAGGATATATTATCATATCAAGCAGCTTCCAAACCTAATTATTTGTATCACCACAGGATTGGCAAATTGGGTCTGTGTTTGTTTGTGTGTGTGTGCATCTTATTGACGGGTGTCATATTCGAGCACAGTACATATTCGCAATTCTGTTAACCTGTCAAATTAAACCTATCGTGGGCTGGCGGGGCTGACTCCCGCTGATAATCTGATCGACGCTGGATTAAGAGAGCCTCTATGATACGCTGCCGGTACGAGTGCTTTTTTGTCAAGAAAGGTGTTGAACAAAAAAGAAAGGCGCCTCTATCATAATACTATGATGATATACAATATGAATGTGTTTTTATTAGAACCTACACTTGGGCACTCAACACCAAACAATTTTCTTTGGCCTAGAAAGCTTCATAGACATGTAGAGTATATATTCATCAGTTTAAAAAATATTCATGAGCCTTATATACTGTAATTTGCAGCTCCTGAACCAAAAAATATAAAAAATACCAAAATGCATTTTTTTGCACTAAAAATATCTTGCACTTCCTGAGCATCAGTAGCACCAAATCCCATCTCAATTAGACAACTGCATCTTGTGGTATTTTTGAATTAAAGTTGTTGTCATTTTTTTTTCTATAAAGGTTTGTTACACAATAA